ACATTATATCTTCTATGTTTCACATGATACAGATAATGTCTTCTTTAGCAAGTCTGCTGCATTTAGATTTTGGTTTGCTTCAAATATGCACCTTTGCATGATTCAATGATTAATGCTTCTGTGCACTTGTTGTCTCGTGATTATGTCTCCTCGACGTTATTGTTTATTGCTAGCTTATATAAGAATGCCTTTTAATGTGGTCAGGAAAATGTGAAGACAAAACATCCCCAGTTACTGTATGAGTCTAAGCTGTACAAATTACTTCAGGGAGGAAGTAATAATAATCTCTTCTGTTGTTGCTTAAGCTCTCGCTTGGTTTGAATACTCGCATGTTTTATTTTTTTCTGTTCTCATTGTTTGACTATTTTGTGAAATTCTGGCAGCTGGAATTCCAAATGTTAGATGGTTTGGTGTTGAAGGTGATTATAATGTCCTCGTGATGGATTTGTTAGGACCTAGTCTTGAAGACTTGTTTAACTTCTGTAGTCGTAAGCTGTCACTGAAGACTGTTCTCATGCTTGCAGATCAGATGGTATATGGAATCTGCTTTTTCGTGCTATGTTAACAATTTAACATTTAGCAATTTCATGTTTTATTACGTTCTCAGAAGTTGTGTGTGTCTGTGTGGTTTTGCAGATTAATCGGGTTGAGTTTATCCACTCTAAGTCGTTCCTTCATCGAGATATCAAGCCCGACAATTTTCTAATGGGTTTGGGGAGGCGTGCAAATCAGGTAAACTTTTATTCAGTTTGAAGCTTTGTAATTATTTTTTTTTATTATTATTTTTTATTTTTAATTTATATTTGCCAGCAACCAATTACTCTTTAAGTCGTCTGTAGGTTTATGCCATTGATTTTGGACTTGCCAAGAAATATAGAGACTTTTCAACACACCAACATATCCCATATAGGTAAAGTTGTCTCCAGTGTAGATATCTTTAGAAATTAAACAGAAAAGTAGTTATGTGAGCTTTTCTTTTGCTGTTAAATGCAGAGAAAATAAGAATTTGACTGGGACAGCGAGATATGCTAGCATGAATACGCATCTTGGCATTGGTATGTACATCTCATGCAATATCTTTTACCCTTTCAACTTCCGAGATGCCTTATTCTCTTTTTGGCTTCATGTTTGGTTCTTTTCCCCTGTATCGCTGAATGATGCATAGAACAAAGCCGAAGGGATGATCTGGAATCACTTGGATATGTTCTCATGTACTTCTTAAGAGGAAGGTGTGTGTGCCCACATGCGTGCATGCATGGATGTGCCTTTTTATTTTATAATATTTTATTATTATTATTATTTATTTTATCTTTTGATAGTATCTCTTGCTCATATCTATCAAATATGCAGCCTTCCCTGGCAGGGACTGAAGGCTGGCAACAAGAAACAGAAATACGAAAAAATTAGCGAGAAAAAAGTTTCAACGTCAATAGAGGTAATTTTGCAAAGTTTGCTGAGACTACGAAATTCCAATGTATTTCTCGTCATGCTAGAATCAAGCTGAACTGAATATTTTTCTAGGCTTTATGCCGTGGCTATCCCACCGAGTTTGCCTCTTACTTTCACTACTGCCGGTCGCTTAGATTCGATGATAAACCTGATTATGCATACTTGAAGAGAATTTTCCGTGACCTTTTCATTCGTGAAGGTTCTTTTTCCTCCTACCTTTTTTTCCCATTATTTTATGCTTTCTGTAATCGCCTATCGTCCTATTATACTCAATTTAGTTTGCCTCTCCCTTATTTTTTACTTAATAGGTTTTCAATTCGACTATGTATTCGATTGGACTATCTTGAAATATCAACAGTCTCAGCTTGCCAATCCTCTATCCCGTGCCCTTGTAAGTAACTTGAACTTTTTCAGGCTTAATTAGAGGTGGCGAAATGAAGCCTAGCCTGCCTGAGGATAGGGTCTGATTGTCTGCAGACCTGAAAGAATCTGCAGATAAAATATGTGCAGAGTGGGCTGGGTTTGTTCTTTGTTTTGACTCTTAAGGAAAAAATTGGGTCGGGTCATCATATCACCACCTCTTGCCGAGCTAGCTATATGGCTCCCAGGGTGTGATCTAATTATGAATTTCGTTGACAGGGTACTGCTGCTGGAACAAGTTCGGGTATGGCGCATGCTATCGACCGACAATCAGGTATTTTCCATTTATTTAAGTCGTTTATTCTGTCTTTGCTTGTCTGTTTGTGCAGTTGTAAATTTAAGCAGATAACTTACCTTATTGTGGAGCCAAGTGATTTTGAACTCGAGCTTTGAGTGGGTTTGAGTGCCGAGTGTTTAAGTGGATTTTGTACAACTGTTTAATGCAGGTGGCGAGGAGGGTAAAGGCCCAGGTTGGTCTGCAAGTGGAAATCATAGTAGAAACTTGGTGAATTCAGGGAATTTGTCCAGACAAAAAGGCCCTGTTGCAAATGATGCTCCTGTATCTAAAGAAGTAAGGCAAACAACTTCATTTTCCTAAAAAAATAAAAGGTATCTTGTTTATTTTATCTTTTGTAGGGAGGATGGGAGGGAGAGAATAAAGAAGACAGGTTTCCAGCTATATGATCAACTAAAAACTGCGCATTATTTTCAAACGAGGGTCCTCGTAATTTTCTGCTCTCTTGCATCATATCTTCACATCACTTAATTTAAGTGGGCTTTCTTACAGCTGTCGAATTCGAACACTTTCCAGCAAATCGGGTCATCAAGAAGGCTGGCTGTGTCCAATAGTCGAGAAGCCGAAATTCCCTCGAGTGATATTGAGCCTTCACAAGCTCGTGCAACAGAATTCCTCCACAGAAACCCTATTGCTGCTGCACAGAGGAGTTCACCAGTCGTATCATCGGATCATAAGAGGTCAGCCTCAACTAGAAACCTCCCAAATGTAAGAAATTTTGACTCGACCCTCAAAGGTATGGAGAGCCTAAACTTTGGCAATGACGAGAGGATGCACTATTAGTATCTGTTCCCTATTTTGTAAATAATGGTAAGCAGCTCAAGGAAAAGAAAAAGAAAACCACTTTAAGAAAAGGGCGCGTGGTGAGATTAATGGTTTTTTTAAAATTTATTTACATATATAATTCGGTTTATTATATATGTTCTACTGCACCAAAAAATTCTAGTTGGGTGGCTTGCATATTTCCAAACATGTATAATTTTTGCACATCATTGCTCAAATGTGTGTTTTGCACATCATGGCTCAAATGTAGCAATAATTGCAGAATTTGGTGTTCTTTAGTGTGCTGATGTATGGATTTTGTTCAGTGGGTTAGTTAGTAGACATGCATGCTGCATCAGCATGGTGTGTTGAAGTGAAATACCCTATTTACAAGCAAGGCTATCAAGGTGGGAATCCATACTTTTCAATAGATATGCGGTTACCTTTGGATAGTTATGCTGAAATGTCGCACTCTACAAAATAATACAAATGAAATATGACATTTCATGATATAAATGTTAATTTTTATTACAAGGTATGATAGAGTGACCGGTTAGACCGTCCTAGACAATGCTTTATGCCTAGTTAATTGAAGATTTGGATAGTTTTCAGCTTTTGTCTTGTTGCTTTACAGTCAATTGTCAACCATATTATCATTTTGATGAAAGAGTCGAGCTCAAATTCGCTTAAAGCCTGTTTCGTTCCGGCTTGATAAGACTCCAAAAGAGAATTTTTATATAATTTTCTAGAGTTTGGTTTGGTAAAATTTGAGATCGTCTCGTTTAGGTTTGAACTCGGGCTCGTTAATATTGATAAATGAGCTGAGCTTGAGCTCGATTTATGAATCATTTACTTAACGAGTCGAGCGGGGCTCTGCTCGGCTCGGCTCGGCTCATTTACAGGCTTAGGTTGTAACATACTTTCAAGAACCACTTTCTTGGTTACCAGAACTAGTTCTGATTGATATACACTATGTGAATGCAAGTTTTGGAATCCTATTGTATGTCTCAATGGGATTCTATCTTTGTAATTGTATTTTATGACGAACATTATTTTCTTGCCATTTACTTTGTCCTCACCCCTCTCATGTATGGCAGTTATGCTATTTTGTTGGTTTTCAACTTTTCATAACAAACATGATGTCTGGTTTGATTGTACAAATGGAATACAACCAATATATATCTTATTATTTCTCACATGACTTGTCATGCATTGGAACTGGACTTCGTCCTCATGCTCACCATCCTTTGACCAATGACAACTAATTAATCTCATCTTTATCTCCAATTCAACTCAAATTAAAATATTTATTTTATTGATATTTGTTTATTTATTAATATTATCTACAATTGATTCTTTTATTGTTTTAGTTGTGATAAATTAATTCAAAAAATCTATAATTAAAGTTGTAATGATTTAAAAAATAATAACATTTTAAAAAATAATTAAGTCATACGGTCTTGCAGTGTATTAGACTGTCGGGTGTCAGGTGTGCAAACAACCTAAACGTACCGCGACATGTGGCACAATCCTCCTATGGCGTGCTTTCTCAGTTAGATGCTCTTTTGTGTTGTCTTGAGGCCCAGTCCACGTCACTAGGCAGAACGTTCATTAGGTAGAACATGAGCTTCCTCATCTCCTCTATTGCTCAAGAGGTCGAGTCGACAATTTCTAAGGTTGAAACCGGTGTGAATTTGTCTTTTGGCTATGTTCTCTTCTCAGGAGGCCACCATCAGTTCGACTATTGTTTTTAGCTCAACTCTTGTCGAGCTACCTTGTTAACTTGGTCTAGTTGCTTGGTTTCACTGAGAGAGTTGACTCCGTATGATATCACATATCCTTATATAATTTAATTATGCCCGACTTATATATTTTAACCATAAAAAAATCAATTAAAACTGGATCAAACCAATTTTGTTTAACTGATTTTTTAACAATCATTTAAGTATATTGATAATATTGAGGAGGATTAAGTTGAATGCCTCCATAATACATTTAAAGAATCAAATAATAAATAAAAAAGTCCAAACAATTTTTATATTTTGGATTCAGGCAATTGTATGTTAAAATGAGACGCAATCGAATATACATAAAACAAAATTTTGAATGAACTTTATTAGTTAAAATGAGTTAATTTGAGTGAAGTTGATTGAGTGGAGAGTTGAATGATATTTTAAATTCGCATTTAATAATATATAAATTATAACAATTAAAATTGATATTATTTAATTATATTGATATGGGAAAATTTGAATTAAATTAAATATGAGTTGAATTTTTGAGTTAAATTTAAAAGATTATCCGATCAGTCAAACCCGATTTAATGTGTACACAATTGTGCCGGGTAAATTGCGCCAAACCCCCCTGTATTATACGAAATCTGCGCGTTTTCCCCCTGTATTTTAAAAATTGCGCCATACCCCCTTGTAATATACTTTTGCATGCGCGAAACCCCCTAAACCGTCAAAAATGACGGCAGTGGTTTGCACGCGCGTGCTGTGCGATTTTTTCTTCATTTTTTCACTCTAAAGTGCCTGAAATTACTGCTTTACCCCCCTAAAGTAATTATAATGATGGCAGTGGTTTGCTTTATATATATTACTGCTTCACCCTAAATTACTGCTTTATATATATTATATAATATTATATATAATAGTATAAAATATATAATAACTGTTACATGTAATATATATAATATTATATTATTTATAATATTATATAATATATATATATATAATATTATATATATATTATAATATCTGTTATATATATATATTGTATATAATATAAATAATATTATATAATAATGATAAATATAATATATATAATATATTTATTATATTTATAATATAATATATATTTATAATATAATATATATATTACGGTTATCATATATATATATATTATAATATATATATATAATATATAATATATTATAGTTTGTAATATATATAATATTATATTATATATAATATATATAAATATATTATATAATATTATAAATAATATATAATATATAAATAATAATTGTTACATATAATATATAAATAATATATATATATTACGATTATTATATATATATATTTTATATTTATATATAAAATATATTTTATATTACGATTAATATATATGTAATATATATTACGATTAAAATACGTATAATATAATATAATATATATTTTATATTTATATATAAAATATATTTTATAATAACTGTTACATATAATATTTTATATTTTATATTATATTACGTATATTTTATATTACGATAATATATAAATAATATATAAAATATATTTTATATTTTATATATTTATATATAAATAATATAAAATATATTTATATATAAAATAATAACTGTTACATAAAATAATATATATTACGATTAATATATATATGTTACATATAATATATAAATAACATATTTATTATATTTATAATATAATATATATATTACGATTATTAAATATATATTTTATATTATATATATAATATATAATATATTATATATAAAATTTATAATAACTGTTACATATAATATATAAATAATATTATATTATATATAATATTATATAAAATTCTTGGATGGCATAATCGTAAATTATTGGATGGCATAATCGTAAATTCTTGGATAAAGGAATTTTATAATGATAAATTGAACAAAAAGTAACGCCGTCAGGGGGATTTGTAACGGCGTTAACGTAGCAGGGAGAGTGTGCATGCAAAAGTATATTACAAGGGGGTATGGCGCAATTTTTAAAATACAGGGGGAAAACGCGCAAATTTAGTATATTACAGGGGGGTTTGGTGCAATTTACCCCAATTGTGCCCTAGGCAACTACAAATCCTTCCTATGCACTTTTGTTGCCTTTTTCACTTGTTCATTGTAAAATTGAATTCCATTTCTTTCTATTAAATGAACTACTATGAATCCCGTGTGATGCACGAGTATGAGATATTAATAAATATTTATAACTTAAAAATTCTCATTAAATAATATTTATAGATTAAAAGCATGGAATCAATATTTAATACAATGTACTTATATTAATTTGTTGAAATATTATATAAAATCTATATTGTGCAAAATTACATAAAAATGTCTATTTATAAAATTAGTAGACAATTCGCGCGTTGCACATAACTGATTATATTATATTCGTTTCAAAATATGTTTTTGACGAGCTTTTTCGGTCAACGGTTAAAATAGTAAATGTTGGAAATGAGAGGCTGGAAGCGAAGAAAAGATATAGCTTAATTACGGTTTTATTAGGCGATCACGAGGTCGGCCTCTCGTACGAGGTCGGCACTTGTGATATACTTACAATTCTTACAATAAGTTTCTTACAGTTTTCAGAGAGAGAAAGTAGAGAGAAGACAGAGTTAGTTGAGAACAACCCAAAATTAATGAAATGAGCTGCTATTTATAGTGTCTTTAAATGTGGTACTGTTCAGGTACTGTTCATTGATCTTGTCGTACAGTAGTCTTGCAGGGCAGTTCGGCGTCTCCCTGACATCCATTTAATGCGATTTGAGGTTTCTTCAATCATTACTTGTCAGGCATTAAATGCTAGCATGGGGGCATTTAATGCTAGTAGGCTTTCTTGTCTAGGCTTGCTTGTAGGGTACCAGGCTATGGCAACCTGTCCCATCATCCAATGATGACTTTCCAAGTGGTAAATATTTTAATATTTGTCGGACCCCGTCCTTGCCTTTG